AGCCGGAGGCTGCTGTGCTGCTGCGCACGCTGTCTGGATAGGACGCCAGGTCGCCCACGTTGCCCAGCCCGCCGCTGCAGTAGCCAGCCACCGAGCCGTGAGCGAACTGCGAGACCCCTGCATGGGCCATGGGGTGGTAGGCGGCAGTATTGTGGCCTGCCATGGGGTGCTGCTGCTGTGGCGGGAGGGCTGAGCTCGAGGTCTGCCGGTAGGCGGCGGCGCCCACTCCCACGCCCAAAGGTGCACCCAGGCTGCCCTCCATGGCGCCGAACTTCTTGTAGGTCTCCTCCATGGGACTCAGGATGTCGGAGACGGAGAAAGGAGTCGTGTGCTTGGGGCTGAGCGACATGGCTCGCCGGGCAGCCCCCTGGCTCCCTTCCTGATCGCCCGGCGGACGCTGCTGCTGAGTCCAGAGAAAAAGGGGGCTGAGCGCCGTCGCCGCTGCGCGGGAACCCGGCCAGGAGGAGGAGGAGGAAGAGGGGGCGAAGAGGAGGGGAAGGCGACGGCGGCGGCGCGCCAGCCCTCCCTTCGCTCTCTCTCTAACTGGCGTGTATTTTAGACCGGCGGCGCCAGGTTTACGACAGACACCGCGGGGGCGGAGCCACACCGCTGCCCCCAGCCGCCAGCCCCCCGTGTACTCCCTCGGCCCCGGATTCTTCGCCTGGCGCCCTCTCCGGCGCGGGAGGGGTTCCCCGAATCTCCCTTCTCCAGAGTCTGGAAAGATTGGCAGGCCCCCTCCCAGCAGCTCTTCATTCATACCCGCGCGCCACGCTGGGAGGACAGTCCGACAAGGTGTGGCGGGGTCGGGGGCTCTCCAGCTGCGTCCATTGGCGAGCGCTTCCAAAGACCTTTAGCTTCAGCCCTGCCCCTCCTCCCCTGCGAGGTCGAGCTCCCGACTGGAAGGGTTCCTTCTGCCAGTTCCCGCACCGCACCGCACCGGTGGGAGATCCTTAGAGGGTGTCCAACAGAATATTCTGAACCTGGCCAAGTAAGGTGGTGCGTTGGCCACCCCGATCTTGGAGATCAGCGGTGTCTCCAGAGCCCTCTGTTCTTCTTTTGCCAGATTCAGACAGGCGCTAAACTCGACGGGCGGGCGGCTCCCCTGAGAGCCTCTTCAGTCGAGATCAACGCGAGCCTTCGGGTTCCGCAGACTTCCCTGTCCCCGTAAGTAGTATCGCTTGGACTGATGAAGGGGGTGGGCCATTCCTTTGGGCCCTTTAGCACAACCATAACAGTCAAAAGGGAACAGTGCAAACTAGGGGGCGGTAGTTTGGGGCAGTAAGGCCACCCTTCCTTATAGGGTTCTTGTTGAGATGCTGATATGCTGACAGCGAAGCGCACTGAACACTCAAAAAAGGAGATTGTGCACACACACAAGGTAAAGGGTGACGCGTTGAACTAGGAGGACCTGCTTGAATTAGTTGGCTGCAAACAAGATGCCGAGCCATCCTGACTTCTTTTCCAGAAGTGAAAAGTCGGAAAAGTGGGGAAGTAGGTAAAGGGAGTGTTTTGAAAGTGTGAAAGACCTTTCCCTGCCAGGGGCCTAGGCATTATGGGAATTGTGTCCACGCATCTGGAAAGCTTCAAGCTGGGAGACTGGTGTAAAGCGCCCACACGATGCCCAAAGAAAACCCAAGAATGGGGACACAGTCTCAGGGAAACCGAAGGGTGGCACTGGCAACAGAATTCAGTATTGGAAACACTGGTTCAAACACTCCAATCACAGGTTTGTTGGAGCCAAAACAAGAGACTTCCGGCCAGGGAACAAGACTGTCACCAAGGGGATCCTGCCAAGATCAATATTGCTTCCTGTCTACAACAGAGTTGACCTTTGAGCTTCGTGGTGCTGATACCACGAAGAAAATCCCGTGGTAACAAACTGGTTTTGTTCTGGCCTTGTCCTTAAGGAAGGGCTACTTGTCTCTAAAGGCGTCCTCAACTATTGAAATTTCTAAGTGGAAAGAAACCTCTGCTGAGCACAGATTTTTATACCAAGTCCCGTAGGAATCCCCTTTCTTTCTTGTAGCTGGCACCAGACTGTCCAGGAAAGCCCAATGACATCCCCCCCATCAGACCAAGCTGACCAATCCAGTTTTTAAACAGTCTTATACCATCCAACCTTCTTGCTACAACAGAGAGGAAAAAAAAAAAATACACAGGGCTTCACCACCTCTTTTCAGAGGTGAGATCAGATGAATTGTGGGTGTGACCAGAACTGTACTTTTGGTGTCAGGGGAAGAATGATCAGCCCTTGTCCCATAGGTAACTGGGGCGGGGGGGGGGGGGGGGTTC